TCAAAACAGACCATGAACCTCTCAAGTATTTATTGGAGCATAAATTAACTACTACTATTCAGAAAAAGGGATTGACTAAACTGTTGGGGTTGGACTACTCTATTCAATACAGGAAGGGTAAATCTAATGTGGTTGCTGATGCACTCTCTAGACAGTGGGAAGATCAAGGTCGATGCTTGGCTATGGGTACTACATTAATCATTCCTAGTTGGGTGCAAGAAGTGGAAGATAGTTACAAAGATGATAAAATGGATGCTGATTGAATATCTACATTAACAATCACTCCTAGTGCTGATCCTAGATGGAAGTATTCTAAGGGTATCCTTAGATTTTAAAATAGGGTTTATATTGGAGCTACTGGAACTCTAAGATTACAGATCCTTCAAACTCTATATGACTCACCTCAAGGTGGTCATTCTGGTACACAAGCAACTTATCAAAGGATTAAAGCTTATTTTTATTGGCCTAGGTTAAAGGCTATGGTGGCAACCTATATAAGGTCTTGTGCAGTGTGTCAACAAACTAAGATTGAACATGTGGCTAAATTAGGACTCCTACAACCTCTGCCTATTCCTTATTAGGCTTGGGAAGTAATCACTATAGATTTTATAGAGGGTCTACCTACATCTTTGAAGAAAGATTGTATTTTGGTGGTTGTTGATAAGTTTACAAAGTACAACCATTTTATAGCTTTATCACATCCCTATTCTGCTACTGAGGCAGCCAAATTATATTTGGATACAGTTTATAAGCTTCATGGCCAGCCTAAAATGGCCATTTCTGATAGGGACAAACATTCACTAGTCTTTTTTGGAAAGAACTAATGAAACAATTAGGTACTAAAACCTTATTTTGTACTGCTTAGCATCCAGAGACTGATGGTCAGACAGAAAGGTTGAATCAGTGTTTAGAGCATTATTTAAGGGGCTTATTTTTTTTTCAACCTAAGCAGTGGGCTAAGTGGTTGTCTCATGCAGAGTGGTGGTATAATACTACCTACCACACAGCCTTAAAAATTACACCTTTTCAGGTGTTGTATGGTTATAGGCCTATGGTTTGGCAGACATACTCTAATGTACAGGTTGTGACTGAATTGATGAACAGAAGAGAAGACATTAGACAATTAGTAATGCTACAATTGGAGATTGCAAGCAACAGGATGAAACTGAAAGCAGACAAGAACAGAATAGAGAGAATATTTACAGTTGGGGATTCAATTTACCTGAAGTTACAACCATATAGAAAAATTTCTTTAGCCCTGCAAAAAAATTTAAAGTTAGCTGCAAAATTTTATAGTCCTTACAAAATTATTGAAAAAATATGTGAGGTTGCGTATCGATTGGATTTACCTGAATCGTCGCGTTTACATCCAGTCTTTCATGTAAGCCTTTTGAAAAAGCATATCGGGAACTCAGCAGTCTTTTCCACCGTTCCTCCTGCAATGAACGAAGAAGGTCAGATTCGAATCGAACCTTATAAGGTGTTGGGTAGAAGAATAATCAATAGGAAAAACAAACCTGTTACACAGTTGTTGGTGCAATGGACGAACCTTGATGAAACAGATGATACGTGGGAGGATTATATTGTTCTACGAGGGTAGTTTCCAGGCTTTGATCCTTGGGGATAAGGATCGATTTCAGCGGGGGGTATTGTTATAGTAGGTGAGGGAGAGCGTGGAAATGAAGAGGGAATTGGGGGAGAAGGAGATCAAGGGTTAGGGATTGAAGATGGAGAATTGGGGATCGAGATACGAAAGGAGAGTGAAATTGGGAATTTAGGGATTAAAGCAAAAAAAGGAAAAGAGAGATATTTACCTTTTGAGTTGGAGCAGATCGAGTACATGGGACAGGGAGAAGTGGATCAGCAGACATTTCCAGTCCAGGAAGAGATGATGTAGCCCAAGTTCGGTGGCCCAAATACCTGTGAAGAGCATATAACAATAGTTTGTTATATCTGTTGGATAGTACTGCCAGCTGGCATATATGAATTTACAATTCTAGCCCTGTAACTAAATAAACAATGGCTGAGAGATCTTTGATTCCTCAAGTAATGAATGAAACATTTCTTTCGTCTGAAATCTCTAATTCTCTAATTCCTTCTTCTCGAATCCTTTCTATCTTTCTTAATCTATAACACTTGATTTCGATCTACTAAAGCATCCATTAAAGACGCGTACAATATCAAATGTTAGTATATTCCCTAACATTTATACATACACAATACTCAAAAGTACTATTATTAAATTTTCTATAACAATCTCAGCCTATCTTAAAATTTTTGGCTCAATAGTATCGGTACCCCTACCATGGTATCGATACTTTTATACTATGGTACCGATACTCCCTTTCAGTACCGATACAATTTCTACATTTTGGATCCATGGTATCGATATTTGTCTCTTAGTACCGATACTTCTATACTATGGTACCGATACTCTATTACTGTATCCATACCATTTCTGCATTTTGTAATCAATGGTATCGATGCCTTCCTCATAGTATCGATACTCACCTCAGTATCGATACTAATTGCATCAGTATCGATACTGTTCAGCTGATTTCTTCCAACTTAAGCCTATAGTATCTGTATTGTTCTTTTAGTACTGATGCCCTTACCCATATTTTCCATTTTCAGCTCGATTTTTACCCAAATTTGGCTAATTTCCCTTATTTTTACCTCCAACAACACTATCAAACTCTTTTTTACTTATCCCGACTAACTTTCCCTCATTTAACGTCTTATAACATCTACAATCTCTAAAGAACACTTCAATCCAAGAATCATACTACTTTTTCTAACATGTTTTTAAACTCATCCAATACTTCTAATCTCTTATTTACTTCTTTGACAAGTCAAATATACTAGTAAACATCAATAAAAACTCATATCTTATCATATCATTCAAAAACTCATTTTCCTAAATCTCAAATATTTCATCCATCTCTTAGTTTTAATCTTATTTGACCCTTCCTTATGCCTTTATAATACTCAATGATTCAAAAACCAACCAAAAACGAAAGGAAAAGCTAGCCAAATAAAACCTTACCTTTGGCTATAGAGGAGAGCTCTTCCATGGGAAAGAAGAAGAAAAGAGAGATGGCTTTTGTTGACTTACTTTCCCCTTTTTCCTTACTTTAATACTTTACTAAAAAAATAAATTTTAAATTAATTTCCCTTTAAAGGACCAAAATGCCCTCTTATTCATCTATTGTTACAAATTAGTCTAAAACACTATTTCAAATCATTTTCTCAGGTTTTATCATTTATTCAAATAAATCTTTAAATTTTTAAATTTTTTCAATAAAGTCACTAACCTGATATTTAGGGTATTACAAAAGTGAACATTTAAATTATGTCTTTTCCAGACCATCGTAATATACGTATGGATTTCTAGGTGAAATGTTTTGAACTATAATTTATACTTGCACAATATTTGATTTTAACAAATTATCAATACTTATTTATATTGATATAAATTAGCTAACTTTTTTCTAATTTAAGTTGAAACTGCATAACCAATTAAACTAGTTAAAATATAATTATTATTTCTAAAGATCTAAGAAAAGAAAAAATATATTTTTTGTGGATATTAAACCCACATCCTAAAAAAGGAAGGTATCAATTGAAAACTTTTAACTATATACTATTGTTTTGTTAAAGCTCCTAATAATATTCTTTTTGGTATTTTATTATCTAAAACTTAATGGTGTTACAAATATTAAATTAAAACGGATTCGACTTTATTTCACTCCAAATCCAGAACCCGGAGAAGAAGTATGTGATGAAAGAAGACCGAGGAATAATTTCAAATAAAGACGAGTATTCAATTGAGTCGAATAAAAAATTTAAGTTATTAGAGTTTACAAGGCGTATTTAACTCAAACCTTAATTTAAATTCTTTTTTCGAGTCAAATCGAATTATTTGAGTTTCTAAACAATTTAATTATAATTAGTTATATTTAGTTATTCTTTTACACATAATAATATTACTTAATAAATCAAATACAATCTAAAATTATAAAATATATTTACAATTTATATTTCAAAGAAGGTATTTCGAAGGTAAAAGATTAATGGAAATATTAAGGAATCAAAGAATTGATGTGAAAAAAGAATTTGCAAACAATTGTAATCAAAATAATAATTTGAGTAAAATACAAAGAGACTAAATTGAAAAAAATTAGTCTTGAAAAAAATAGAATACATTTTTAGTAAAATAAATTATATGAATTGAAGCTAAATCAATATTCTACAGTGGTAAAGGTATATGTGGTTCAAATTTGGAAACACGTACTCAAAATGAAGAAAGAATTGAAGAATTAAAGCGGAATTGAAAGACTAGGTATTCTACTATGATTTAGGCGCATATGGATCAAACTTGATAAAAATGAACTTAAAATAAAGAAGAATTAAAGGAATGAGAAAATAATAAAATAAATCGCAAATTCATTTTTCGAGTGCCTCAAAATTTTCAAATTTCAACTAAACCCAAACTTGAAATCTGAGTCGATAATTTGAGTTGATTTGAATAACTTGAAATAAAAAAAAAAGATTTTTTGAATCAAGCTGAGTCTTACCCCTAAAAAGGCACGAATGACACAGCACAAGAATAGTTGTCAAGAAATCTATATATGTCAAATTCATATAGTAAATATTTAAGACTTGATAAGGCCAAAGACTCGGCTTTAGGTGATTAGCCAAAAGTTTTCCATCCATTATCCAGTCACCAAGAAGACAACAAATCTAAGTTTCTTCCACTAACATCAAAGTGAAACTACCCAAATCAAGCTTTTCACAACACTTGGTTTGCTGCAACTCCAAGCTTTTCAACTGATAATTTTTCACAGCACTTTTCAAATACATTTCCCAAATCAAAATACAGCATGAAACTAGAACTTAAACAATCCAGAAAGTCAGTTCAATTGAATCCTATAACCTCCTTTATGCAAAAAAAAATCAAGATGGCATTCCCAATCAGACGTATCACTGCATTAATAAAGTGACATAGCAAGCAGATAGAGTGATTTACTGAAACTAGAGGTGGTAATCAGGCAGATTTGGGTTTTTTTTTGGGTCGGGTTTTCAGGTTCAGGCTCATTTATCCACCTTAACTGAAACCAAACTGGATAAATGTTTCAAAAAGGATTCACTTCAACTCTCCAACTGACACTTAACCTGGATAGTTAGCTGACAAAGAAAAACAAAGAGAACAATCATATTTAAGCATTGTAATGAGCTCTATGATCCCAACTCCTATTCTCTTTTTCCAAATACTTCTTCACACCACACCACCCAAATTTCTTTCTCATTGAGTTATCAAATACCCATTCAATCATTTATGGCAAACAAACTAAGAACAAGTCAAACAATTCTTCAGCTGATCTGCAATAATTATTTGACACACTCCGGCAAACTAAAATAAATTAACAAGATCCATTTCCAGTTCATGAACATAGCTATCCAGATTACAGCTTTTCCTTTAAACTATGATATTAGCAAAATTATAGAGAATAATAAGTAAAATAACAAGAAATCACACAAAACCGCAACTTCCTAGATAATCATGTATTTGATATGGCATAATATAAGATGAAGCAAAATAATATCTCTAGGCACGCAAGAAAACAACAATCACATATTTAGGATTGAAGGGAAATTACAGTGGATTATTGTTCCAACCAAAAATATCCTCAAGGTATAGTTGAGTCATTGAGATTTCTTATATCGCAAAAAGGATTAAAAAGAACATATTAAATACTTATAAATTTGTGAAGAATGACATGATCCTAACAAAACATATTGACACTTCCCAAAAACAATATCTACATTCTTATCAACCTACTGCTAAATAAAGCTTAAAAATCAAACAAGACCATAAATTACCCTGAATGTGCACGTCCAGCTCTTATGATCTTTCTCCTTTCATAGTCAGCATCATCTGTTGGCAACTCATGACGACAAACAGGACAGGTATTCCTTATTCCCAACCAGGGTATAATACAATCTGCATGATAGCGATGAGCACAAGGCAGTTGCTTCATCTTTTCACCAAGGTTAACCTCATCCTTACAAACCGCACAAAGAGCATGGTCATTAACCACATCCTCCAGAGTCACAACAACAGAAGGAAGATTCTCAACTATAGATTTTGAAGCTGGAGGCTTCTCGATAAATGCATTATCATTCTCAGCAAACTGTCCAAAAAGCATTTCATATTCTGCAGCATCAATATAGTCATGATGATCTGCAAAAAATGGCTCAGCATTCTCATCCATTTCATGGGCAATGTCCAAGTTATTAGCATTCAACAGAACCTCCCACTCCAAAGTTTCCAATCCAGCTGCCCTCTCTAAACTAACCACATCTTCAGGTAATATCATAGGGGAAACGGATAGTGAAACCGAATTCACATCATCATCGCCATCAATAAACACACTTAAAACATCCCTCTCATCAACCCTACCATCCACTTCCTCCCACTCGAAATCTTCAACAGTCTCCCGGCGTTCATCCAACTGCAGTGAATCCCAGAAAAGCGGAATGCTAACACTCACGTCATCAGCAGGATCAACATCATAACAATCATTAACATGATCATCAATTCCATAATCATCTCCGGAATTCAAATCAATTGTTAACACCCTATTATCATTCTCGTCCTCATCATCCTCGTTGTCCACCGAATCAGACCTAAGCCCAACAATCCGAATGCTATCCCCAAACATTTCAACGCCGCTAAAATTAGAACCGACCTCGCTAGCACTCAACCCAGCAACCATCCTTTCCGCAAAGAAATGGCCGTCATCATATTCGACACCACCAGTATCAATCTCAATATCGCTCTCATGAGTATCCATCGAATCAAACCCTAACGCTAACCCTAAATCCAACTCATGATTTCCCTCAATAACACCAAAACCCGAATCGCTCAAATTATCATAAACCAAATCAATGGCATCATTATTATCATTGGTGCTGCCACAATTGCAATCGCTGTTATTGGGAGTATTAACGGAACAAACCTGAGATCGTTCGAAGCTTTGGTGGAAGAGATCGATGACGAAATTGACTTGGTTCTCTCGGCGATCGAAGAGATCGGGGCCGTGGATAATGAGGGAGTCGGGAAGTGAAACGTCATCGTTTGGGTTAGAGGGATCGGATAAACGAAAATCGGGAGACCAGTAAGATTGGTAATCAAGGGTCAGGGTTTGGTCGCTGTGGTGATGGTGGTGGTGGTTGTCCTGAACGACGTCGTCCTCTGAGTCGTGAAGGTGAATGGAAGTAAACGACGCCATGAATTTTTTTCAAAGTGAAGGAACCAAAAGAACAAACAAGATTGAACTGATTTCGTAATGATTTTATGTTTTGGGTTTCGTTGTAATGGCGAGAGACTAGAGGTAACGTTAAACATGGGAAATTACTTTTATGTCCTATAATCTACGCTACTTACAAAATTTTTCATTTAATCACACGAATTTATAGATAAAAAACGTATTTTAGAATAAGTTACATAAAAATATTTTAAAAAATAAAATCCATGGCTGAATTTTTTTAAATATATAATGGTTTTATATGGATGATTAATTATTTTTAAATGATACTTTAATTTGTATGTTTTTAAAAGAAATTTACTCATATCTCTTGTTAATTTAATTAAATTCGTATAATTTGCATCATTTATTAATTTAATCAAAATTTTATATTATTACAAATTAAATAATAAATTGTAAATAATATAATTTAAGTAAATTATTCATTTTATAAAAATAAGGTAAAAAAATTAATATTAATAATAATAGTATATGTCATCAGTACAACTATCCAGGACACATAGGACTTTATTCTTAATTACCTTAGATATAATTTTGCAGATGATCAAACATAGACTTATAAGCTTAATTTGAATCATATTTTTAGAATCTTTGGAATCAAAACAATATTAGTTTGATTAATAGTGTCTAAAGGTGTTTCAAGATTAAACCCACAAAGACAAAACTTACAAACTCATAAATAATTGTAATCAACAGTCTTTTTCTTATTAAATAGAGATATTACACTCTAAATTAAATATAAAAATTAAAGTTCACACAAAATGAGATAATATAAATCTCTTAGTTATTCGACCAATTAATAAATTTTAATTGAGATTACTCGAAACAAAAATCTCTCAAGAATAGATTATTCATTTTTTGGGATACATGGGTCTCAATCCTCAACAGTAAGCTAGAAAATTTCTAAATCCCTTTGGAAGAAGGTCATGAAAGTAATCAATGATAATCTTCTCCATGCCCATGTGTGTTCAACCATAGCACCATTCCCATCTTCTAAACCTTTAAACCTATTAATCTGACGTCAGTGAGATGCAGACTTACTGGAAAAAGAAGCATTTTTATCCTTACATTTAAGTCAATCCACTCGTGTCCGTTATGAGCGAATATTATATATATATATATATATATATATATCACATTAGCTTAATAAAAATAATTATGGAGGTAATGGATGAGTTTAGTGCTTGCTCCAGACATTGTGTAAGTTAAGCCAAAACACTTGTTTTTCTCCAAGAATTGTAACACAAACTTCAGGAATATGGTGGTCAGCCGTTTGGGTTTCTCGGAAGCGGTTAATCTTGGATAGTATCTTGGTGTTCCCTTGCTTCATGGTAGAGTGACTAAAGCCACTTATAATTATCTTATTGAGAAGGTGGAGTCTCGGTTATCGGGTTGGGTGGCGAAAACGCTCTAGCGAGACGAATAACGCAAAAGCTGTTTTACAGGCCATACCGTATTACGCAATGCAATCCACGTGGTTGCCAAAAGGCACTTGTGAAAAGTTAGAGAAGTTGATCCGTGGGTTTGTTTGGAGTGCGAATGGCGACTCAACGAAGCTTGCTTTGGTTAAGTGGGATACGGTTAAGATCTCAATTGATGCTGGAGGATTGGGATTGAAGGATTTAGAGAGGCAAAATAAAGCCTTTCTCATGAAGATTGGCATGCAACTTGTTGAAGGGAAGGATAAATTATGGATTAAAGTGCTCAAAAGCAAGTATAGATGGGCTGAGGGAATCCCTTCGACTATTGATCGACAACGCTGCTCACGACTTTGGAATTGATTGAGATGTGTTTGGGAGGAGATCCGTAAGAGCATTTTTTGGAATATTCGGAATGGGGCTAGGACTGACATGGCATGACGTATGGCTTGACGGAACTGGGCCTTTGGTTAATCACTGCTTATATAATGATGACCCGCGACCGATTCTGGTGGATTCCATGACTACTTCGCTTGGGGCATGGGACTGGGGGAGATTGTGTGATTGCGTTCCAGGGTCGATATATGATAGAATCGCTGCTGTTGCCCTCCGGTGTCAAGGCTCGGTGAGTATGTTTCGGGTTGGAGATGGGAGGCGAACCATTACTTCAGTGTAAAGTCAGCTTACAAGGCCTTATCGCTTGCTACGTCGACCGGATTATCGGATTGATTGAGGAGAACTTGGTCACTTCCTGTACCCCAGCGAATACGTATTTTTCTTTGGCTCTCCCTACGTGGAAGACTATTGACCAATGAGGAAAGGCAGCGCCGCCATATTGCTGCTTCGGCTCGCTGCCCTTTATGCCTTACCGAGGACGAGGACATAACACATGCTCTTCGTCGATGCTCATTTGCTTTGGACTTATGGAGAAGAGTTGTTAATAATAACGAGATGTCAGATTTCCTCACTATGCAAAATGATGAATGGTTGATGATGAACCTCAGTGGCAACGGGAAGTTCTCAATCAATGGAAGGGACGGGGCAGTGCTGTTTGCGGTTGTATGTTGGAAGCTTTGGAAAAGGCGATGCAATTTAGTTTTTCATAACAACAATGAGGACGCGGAGATTTCATGGCTCATTGCCTTCGACAGATAAAATTGTTGCTACTGAGGATAATACGCTCGGTGGCAGATTAATGATAGGACAATTGTGAGATGGAAAAGACCAAATCCGGATTGGGTGAAAGCTAACGCCGATGGAGCAGTAGGAGGAGCGGGGAAAATGGCATTAGCTGGAGGTGTCTTGTGAGATGCTTTTGGTAATTGGATATTTGGTTTCAGCCGAAGCCTCGGAAAATGATCGATTTTGATGGCTGAACTTTGGGCGATATACTATATACTCTCATATGCTTGGAATCTCTATTTCAAGAAGGTTGAGGTTGAAACGGACTGTTTAATGGCAGTGGAGGCAACTCATAATTCAAGCATCGGAAGTGCAAGTACAATCATCGAGATGATTCTTGAGTTGTTGAGTAAGAATTGGGAAACGAAAATCAGTTATATTGGCCGGGAAGGTAGTAAGTGGCCGACAAACTTGCTTTGCTTGGCCAAGGGAGTTTCGATAGGAGTGGTGATCCATCAAGTTCCTCCCACTGGGGTTGCTGAGTTGGCCAATCAAGATCAAGCATTTATGTATTAATTTCTGTCCACGTTCTGTATTACCAAAAAAAAAATTATTGTATTGTTCTTTAACAAAGTCTCAAGCATTTAATAATATTTTAATATAATTTAATATATTAAAATATTATTATAAAATCATCAAGTATTAGGAATCTACTTTTAGGTATATAATCTATATCTCAAATTAATTTTTAGTGTATAAATATTTTTTTGTTAAAAATAAATACTTAATATTTTCTCCATTCACTTTCAATTGGAAGAATATTTTGCTTATCCGAATTCGGGAGTCTTGGGATTAGGTTTCATGGTTATTATCAGTACATATATTCCGAAGGTGGTCTCATAATTTTATATAGAGAAAATAACCTCAGTGACCGAAAATGCCTTGTAATATACGATTTTGACCAACTTTTTTTGGATTTGCCAAAATGACCAAGTAAATCGCAATGCGATCGATAATTCGCAACGCGATCTCCAGTATCGCAAATCAGTTTCTAGATTCGCAAAGCGATAGTTGAAGTTCGCGTTGCGATTCATTCCAAATCGTTGCGATAGGCGAAGTTCGCGTTGCGATTCATTCCAATTCGTTGCGACAGGCGAAGTTCGCATTGCGATTCATTCCAATTCGTTGCGACAGGCAAAGTTCGCGTTGCGATTCATTCTAAATTCATTGCGACAGGCGAAGTTTGCGTTGCGATTCATTCAAAATATTACATTTGTTTCTTAAGAATTTTCTCTAAAAAGATAGAATTCGCACGGACGTGTCGAAGACACGTATTACCACGACCACGACCACGACCACCCCGACCCTAGACGGGACGGGACGGGACGGCGGCGCGCGAGAGTTCCCCTTGTTCTCTATCACTCAACAAGAAGTGGGAAAGCCAAGCCTTAAATACCATTCCCAATAGTGTTTCCAATACTATGTGGGATTGAGCATTACCAACACTTGTTTCCAATACCATTACCTTCATTGTTGTAAGAGTTTAATTTTGAAACTAAAAAAATATTTATTCGAATAAATAACTTACCCTTTGAGGACTTTGATCATAAATGAAGTAATTGCTAAAACTAACTCTGATTCGGGTTCTTATAGTGTTCAAATGACTTACTTGCAAAGAGTAGATGATGACCAAACAACTCGATATGTTTCCTTTGTGTCATTAGCAGCTAGTTTTCGTAGCATCCTCAGTTGAAAACTTCCATCATTGTCTCCTTTGCATTTGTTTGGTTAATATTTTTCTTCCATCAAAGTCCTCAAAGGGTAAGTTATTTATTCGAATAAATATTTTTTTTGTTTCAAAATTAAACTCTTTCAGACAATGAAGGTAATGGTATTGGAAACAAGTGTTGGTAATGCTCAATCCCACATAGTATTGGAAACACTATTGGGAATGGTATTTAAGGCTTGGCTTTCCCACTTCCTTGTTGAGTGATAGAGAACAAGGGGGACTCTCGCGCGCCGCCGCCGCCATCTTGTCCCGTCCCGGGTCGGGTCGGGGTCGGGGTCGGGGTCGTGGTCGTGGCCGTGGTAATACGTGTCTTTGATACGTCCGCGCGAATTCTATCTTTTTAGAGAAAATTCTTAAGAAACAAATGCAATATTTGGACTATCGCAACAAATTTGGAATGAATCGCAACGCGAACTTCGCCTATCGCAACGAATTTGGAATGAATCGCAACGCGAACTTCGCCTATCGCAACGAATTTGGAATGAATCGCAACACGAACTTCGCCTATCGCAACGAATTTGGAATGAATCGCAACGCGAACTTCGCCTATCGCAACGAATTGGAATGAATCGCAACGCGAACTTCGACTATCGCAACGATTTGGAATGAATCGCAACGCGAACTTCGCCTATCGCAACGAATTTGGAATAAATCGCAATGCGAACTTCGACTATTGCGTTGCGAATCTGGAAACTGATTTGCGATACCGGAGATCGCGTTGCGAATTATCAATCCCATTGCGATTTACTTGGTCATTTTAGCAAATCCAAAAAAAGTTGGTCAAAATCGTATATTACAAGGTATTTTCGGTCACTGAGGTTATTTTCTCTTTTATATATATTGACAGGTGATGTGCCCTACATGTCTTTGCACGAGAATGGCAATGGCTAGCGAACATGACCCACGAATTGACCCATTTGATTAAACTGCAGAGCTCGTCTGTAACAACCAAATGTTTTTCATATACAAATGTCCAACCCAATGTCAGGAGAGAGAAAACTTCAATCCTCTTGTAGATGAATTTTGAGAAATACGATTTTATTAAAAAAGAATATTTATCATGAGTAAATTATGAACAACTTTATAAATCTATCACATGAGTACAAGGCATTAAATTTTTGTAATCAAACCTTGGTTTTATGTCTGGAAAGTGCATACAAAATTCTCCTCCAATAGCTTGACTACCTTATCACGATGGCAATCACATGTAAGATAGCTTTCTTCTAAGCATCCCTAACATTTTACATGTAAAAGCATTATAACCCGTTTTTTTATATCATTTTTAGTTCTTATGAATTTATATACTATCCACAAGGATATTCTCATAATTTCCTCAACAACTGGGTCGTCAATCAAATTACACCTTTCTAAATGCTAAGGTGTCAAGTTCTCGCATAATTTGATGAGGGAAACAACTACCTACATTTTTTCTCTTCCCCAAAAATGCTTTCGTTAGATTCTGACATCTTCAAGGGGGAATCAAAGATAAAAATCTGGGTTTCAAAGAAGAGCTTCAAAGAAGAGCATATTTGAGAGTATGGGCATGAAACTAGGGACGATCGTGATAAACCATTTTTAGAACTAATCTTAATTCATCGTAACCCAATGTCAACATGAAGATAACAAAATCCAAACTTCAGTATGTACCCCACCACTGAGTATATACTACTTGGCTCATGGGAATTCCTTTTTAGTTGTAAAGCTTAATTATAATTCTGTACTTCTCCCACATAATTTCCCTTCGGTTTGAGCTGATATAAGATACAGTCCTTATCTTTATTAATTCATTTAGCAAGAAGCTAAAATAGAAGGAATGGGCGAAATTTCAGTGGTGATCAACTAAAAGAAGGGTGCCTAGAGCCTTGGCATAGATTCAAGGTTGTATTGTTTAGGAGTTGAAGATTCGAACACTCGGTTATCCTCAAAGTCCTGGCTTCTTAGTGGCATCAAGTCTGCAAGTAGGTGTAGGAAGCTGTCCGACTAACTGATGGACCAGGATTGCTTATTCTGCTATCAAGGAAGCGGCGGATTAGACCCCCGAATGAAAGCGGCCATAGTATCAGGCTCATATTCTAGGTAGTACATGATTCCTCCCATGCACGCACAAAATAAGGCAACCTGTGACAGTTCAGAATCATCAACTCATGAACAAAATTTATATGAAAAAACCTTATTCATTTAAATAGCATAGATGCTCAACATTCAGACAATTCACATATTCACAATAGCACTTTTTTAAATGCATAAGCATAGTCTCCACTAAGGTGACTTGTCTGATATTTTAAGAACAAAGTGTTATAGTTTTAAGAAATAGAAAAGATTCAAGAAGATAGAGAATAGAGATTTCAGAGAAAAAGGAAATTCTTCATTCAGAACTTGAGATATCAAAATGACTCTACAACAGCATTATTTAGTTACAAGGCTAAAAACGTAATTTGAAATATGTCAGTTGTCTGTCCTTATAACAAACTAACAGATTAATTGTTATCTTCTTTCTCCTTGCAGGTTATTGGGCCACATGACCTGGGCTGCTTCAACTCCTTTCGGGCTGGAGACTTGGGTTGTCCAACTCTATCTGGATCGGGTAACTCCACTTCATAAGGTAAATGTAGCATACCCCTTTCTTGTTCTTGAATCCCTAAATTCCCCTTTTCAATTACCTCTCAAGCCTCAATCCCTAACCCTTGACCTCTGCTTTCCCCAATTGCTTCCCCAACAACTATGTTACATCGCACCAACAACTACGTTACAGGTTTTTTTTTGTCTATTTATGATTCTTCTACCCATAATCTTGTATGGCTCGATTCTAATCTGACCATCATCGTCCATGGCAGGAGGGTCTGTTGAAGAGACTGTAGATTCATCGATGTGTTTCTTCAGGAGGCTTACTTAAAACACAGGATGTATCTTAGAAGAATCTAGTTAGTCCAATCTATACGCGACCTCTCCAATCCTCTCAATAATTTTATAAGGTCCATAGTATTTCCCACTAACTTTAAATTCTTGCGCAGGGCCAGTGAACTCTAACGGTAGGGTTGCAATTTCAGGTAAACAGAATCTCCAACTGCAAATACTCTTTCTGTCCTTTTCTTGTCTGTGAGTTGTTTCATTCTATTGCTTGCATGTTCTAATTGTAGCTTCAATAATTGTTTAATATCCTCCCTGCTACACAATAATTCACAAACATACTGTACATTAGTTTCTGCTTGCCAAACTATAGTAGGAGGCTTGTAGCCATACAATGCCTCAAATGGTGTAAGCTTTAAGGCAATGTGATAGGTAGTATTATACCACCACTCTACATGTGGTAGCCACTTAGCCCACTGCTTAAGTTGAAAGGAACATAAGCCCCTCAAATATTGTTCCAAGTACTGATTCACCCTTTCTGTCTGACCATCAGTCTCTCGATGGTAAGCAGTACTAAATAGGGTTTTAGTGCCTAGTTACTTCATCAATTCTCTCCAAAGAGACTGGTGAATGTCTTGTCTCTGTTAGAAATGACCATTTTAGGCTGGCCATGAAGTTTATAGACAGTATCCAAATACAATTTGGCTACCTCAACAACTGAATATGGATGTGATAAGGCTAGGAAGTGACTATACTTGGTAAATTTATCAACTATCACCAAAATACAATTTTTCTTCAAAGATGTAGGTAACCCTTCTATGAAATCCATAGTAATTATCTCTCAAGCCTATTGAGGAATAGGCAGTGGTTGTAGGAGTCCTAGCTTAGCAACATGTTCCACTTTAGTCTGTTGACAAACTGTACAACATCTGATATAAGT